GCCGCAGCCGCTCCTGCAGGGCCTCCAGCTGCGGGCAGTGGTGTGACTCCGACTCTGTCAGAGGAGTCCTAGGGGAGGGAGTGGTGGGAGTCGGGGTGCAGGGGCTCGGGGGACCCAGTTCCCAGCCCACCCAGGGCTCCCCCACCCCAGGCTGACCGCGGTGGTCTCAGTTAGCTCCAGCAACCCCAGTGGCAGGTACATGGTTTCCTTGCGAACAAGGAAACTGAGGCTCGGAGAAGGGGCTGCCCAGGTGCAAAGGCAGGACACTTGCGGGGAGTTCCCTGGTGGTCCAGTGGTTAGGATTTGGCAGGAGGAGGTCATCCCGCAGGCTCACCTGGTGTCTGAGATGTACAATCTGGCAGGAGGAAGAGAAACCCTGGGGCGGGCTGTGGGCAGGGGCGGGCACAGATCCCAGCACAGTGGGATGGAGGCCGGCCTGAGATACGCCTCCCGCTGCCCTCCCCACCCAGGTACCTCCTCCCTGGCCGAGCCCAGCATGGCTTCCAGCTTGCTGTTCTCCTCTGTCAGAACACTGTTCTGTTTCACCAGGGACTGGCCGATGCGAGCTGCCGTGTTTAGGTCCCGCTCTCTCTGCAGAGGGACCCCCATCCATGGGGAATATGTTCCTGGTTTCTGGGATCTCCCAGACAGATGGGAGGAGCTAGCGTCCAGAGGAAAGCTAGGCCACTACTGGAGACCCTCTCCATCCCCTAGTTCTCCAAGGTACTAGACAAGAGCCTGCCATGAACCCACTGTGGGACCTGACTCAGTTTCCCCCATGGAAAAAGAGATCAGACCGGATGGTGCTAAGAGCTCTTGCAGCCTGGACATCCCACATCTACCTGTCTTCCATAAGAGGGACCTCCAGCTTGGCGCCCAGAGAGGTAGCCAGGCAGGAACACTCCTACCCCTACAGACATAATTAAAACGGGAGCCTGGCTAAAGCTGGGGCTGTCCCGGGTAGGGAAGGCAGCACACACCTCCTCTAGCAAACTTAACATCACTTTGACATCTTCTTGAGTGATTTACTTGACTGGTGGGTGTAGGTCAGGACACAGCGCTGCAAGAGAAAGCGGGAAGCCGCATCAGGAAAAAGGGGGCACATGCTACCTGCCACCCTACTGTTTCCTGCCCTCAACAGCAAGGATCAGCAACAAGGGAGAAGACTGAGTTCCCTTGCTGCCCCCAATATCCTCTCCATACCCCCAGTAATCAGTACTCCCTTCCCTGCTCCCAGCGCCAACTGGACTTTTGTTTGTTTGTTTGATTGATGGTTTGTTTTTTCTGGAGGGGCCTGGGAGGGGTAAGGAGATCCCAGTCCTACAGCTCGGAGGGAAGAGGAGAGGCAGCATCTGTCTGAGGCTCCGCCCACCCCCAAGATTGTTTGGGGGCAGCGGGGGAAGCCCGATCTTGACCCCAGCAGCCAGGAGGTTGGCAAAACCTCCCCTCTGCCCACCCACCTCCCCGTCGCTGGCGCGGCGGGCCAGCGCAGGCTCAGAGTGCACCGGGCAGCGCCCTCCCGCTGCCCCCCGCCCCTCTCCTGGCCCTGCGGTAGCCTCGGGAAGGGGGCACTGAGAGTGCGCAGATCTGCTGCAGCAACAGGCGTGAAGAGGGGGACAGGGGAGCGCGAGCCCCAGGGATCTTACCCACCGACGGAAATAGGGAACGAGAGAAGGGGAGAAGGAGGTGGGGGAAAGGGGACCGGAGAGGCGCCGCAGACCATGACTTCGCAAGGGTGGGCGAAGGGGTGGGACTGAGTGCCAGAGGGGACCGGGCGCCCGGACCCGACGGGGGCCCATCCTCCCTGCTGCTGCCCTAGTCCCACCTGCTCCGGGGGTCCGGGGACCCAGTTTACCTTCCTCCAGCTCCCGAATAAAGGAGGAGGGCTCGGGGCCCGACACCTCAGGCCGCCGGCCGATGTAGGCAGCCGGAGTCTTCCAGATGCCCGCTGCCTTTCCAGTCCCCGAGCCAGCGGCCCGGGGGCCAAATGGACCTTGGAATATGAAGCGAGTCCACGGCGCGTCCGAGTTGTCGGGCACGGACTGGGCATTCCCCCGGACTGCCGAGAATGCGGACGCGCGCTGGACTCCTGCCTCCGATCCAGCCTTGGAGGCCGGGCGAGCTCCCGCTGAGGGTCCCGAGACGGTTGCGGATCCGGATCCTGCTGCCTGTCCTGCCGCCGGTACCTGCACAGGAGCGGGTTCAGGCTCGGCGGAGGGTTCTGGAGCGGGATTGGCTGCGGGCGGAGGAGCTGGGGTGACTGCTGCCGGATCGCCGGGTCCCGGCCCGTCGCCGGCTGAACCCTGCCCCAACTCTTTCGGACGCATCTTGAGTCCGCAGTCGGCTGCTGCAGCAGGGCCTTTATAACCTGTGCCTGGATGCGCGCCCGCCGGACCGTACCACGCGCGGGAGGGGGCGGCCGAGGAGCAACTGGTGGTGCCCGGCACTGGCGGGCGCTCAGGAGGCGAGCTCATGAGACGAAACAGAGTGGAAAACTAAGAGAAGAGCGAGGAGAAGAGGCGAGTGGAGTTGCAGCTGGTTCAGCGGACTTGGACTCCGAGTGCTGGCCTGCTCTCCCCTCTCCACCTCCAGAGAATGGTTTTGCCCAAAGCCGCCGCTTCCCAGGGTTTCGGGTACAGGGACTTGGAAGTCCCTAACTGGGGGTACCCCCTCGCTCCACTCCAGCCAGAGGCTTTTCGGCTGCCTTCCCTGGATCTGACCTGTAAGTTGGGGCCGTATTGTGTCTCTCCCGCGTGGGCTGGGAGATAAATCCAAACTCCTGTACGGCCTCCACGCGCTGCCCAGTCTGGGACATCATGATCCCGGCGCTCACACCCCCGGTGTTCCAGCCGCTTGACAGACCTCTTTCTTATTTCTTAAGTCGTTTTATTGCCTTTCCTAGTGCTTTACCTCCGCCCTCATTCACTTTGCCCACCTCATACCACGGTAGCAAACACCTGTTCTTCCGGGAGACCCCACTTAGGTGTCTCCGCGTAAAGACTCATCCGACCCCGTCCTTCTCGGCCCCAGAGCATCCTTTATGCGACGGCCGCAGTGGTCACACTGTGTCTGTCTCCGAGACCAGACGTGCGCCCCTTCAACACAGGGAGCGTGTTCCTCAGAGCGCAGCACGTGACGGGATACCTGTGAGGGTCGCCGTAAGTCCTGAATGAACTGTGGAGCGGCAGAGGAGTCCAGTGGCCGTTTCTGTGCCTTTGGACCGGAGGAACGTACAGGCCAAAAAGAAATGGCTGCGGCACTGATTCTTTTAAAGCCTTGGGATTATTCTTGGTGCCCCAATTTCCTTCTCTTCAATACCGTCAATCGCCAAATCCTGCTTAATTTACCTCCTAAATAGTTCTCAAATGTGCCACCTCCTTTTCAGCCCTTCTGCTGTTGAGGCCTCATTCTCTCTTCTAGATTGTTGTGAGTCTATCCTCCCACCCACCCGACCCCCATCCACATGACTCCATCTCTAACCCATCTCTCTCACTCATACCCCTATCCTAGCTAAGGTATTCCAGGAGCCCTTTTCCTACCGCCACCACTCAAAGCCGGAGCCCAGGACAGAGGCTGTGCCCAAGGTATGCCCCTGGGACAGAGGCTCTTCGTGCTGACAGCGTGCTTTGGGGGCCAGGTGTCCATGACACAGCCTGGAACAAGAGGCACAACTCAGGAAGGAGGATCAGAGTGCCCCATCCCCAGCAGTCCACTGGAGAAACAGTGTGATTAGAGTATTTCCTTCTGTCCGGGTTCATTCATTCCTTTGACAAATATTTCTTGAGCACCTACTATATATACTAGGCACTGTGCTAGACTCTCAGGCTAGACCAGGGAACAAGGGAAACTAGATCCCTGCTCTCCTGGAGTTTAGAGTCTAGAAGGGGAGGCAGATAAACAAGAGAACAAGTAAGGTAGTTACAGAGTGTGGGGAGTTCTCTGAAAGAAACAAACAGGGAGCCATGACTGCGAAAAATGGAAGTGGTCTGGGCCGTGGGGCCGTGGGAGAGGAGAAATCATTAACTGCGTCGTATTTTGCATCTCAACCCACACCTCCACCTTCACAGCCCATTCATACCCACCCCCCTGCAGTGGCAGCCTCTCTCCTCAGGAGCCTGTGTTTCTTATCCCTGATTGGTGAGTGAACCCCGGAGCCAATTCACCTCCCCTTCCCCAAATCCTGCATACCCCCATGGGGATTCATCTGCCAGTTTATCAAAGGAACAGTCTGCACTAGTTACGTTGTTTCTGAAACAGTGGCTCAAATGCAGCCCCCTCATTGGCTGGGAAGTAAGTGGTTCCCCTGTGGAACCAGACCCCTCCCAACCCTTGCCCACCTGGCCCCTGCTCCCTCTTCCTCTCTTCTCCTCCCATCCACACTCCAGGGCACTTCTGCCAGGTTGTTAAAGGTGGCTCAGACCAGAGGCTTTGGATAAAAAGATGGGGCATCTAAGATCCACGGCCATTTTTTATGGTCATAATCTTGAACAACCTTAATATTTGTTGTCTTCATTTCTTCTTTCATCTCAGCTCTTCTCGTCCCCCTAACTTACCTTCTACTCCTTATTCATTCAACAAATATTTATTTATTATTGAAGTATAATTGATTGACAATGTGTTCATTTCTGCTGCACAGCAAAGTAACTCAGTTATACACATATATACATTCTTTTTTACATTCTTTTCCATTATGATTTATCCCAAGATATTTGATGTAGTTCCCTGTGCTATACAGTGAGACCTTGATGTTTCTCCATTCTATATGAAATAGTTTGCATCTACTAACCCCAAACTCTCACTCCATCCCTCCCCCATTCCCCCTCCCCCTTGGCAACCACAAGTCTGTTCTCTGTCTGTGAGTCTGTTTCTGTTTTGTGGATAGGTTAATTTGTGCCATATTTTAGATTCCACATATAAGTGATGTCATATGGTATTTGTCTTTCTCTTTCTGACTTACTTCACTTAGTATGATAATCTCTAGTTGCATCCATGTTGCTGCAAATGGCATTATTTCATTCTTTTTATGGCTGAGTAGTATTCCATGGTAGATATGTACCACATCTTCTTTATCCATTCATCTGTTGATGGACATTTAGGTTGTTTCCATGCCTTGGCTATTGTGAATAGTGCTGCTATGAACATAGGTGCGCATTCAACCAGCATTTATCAAGCACCCGGTGCCAGGCATTGTGACAGGTGTTGGGGACACATCAGTGAAACAAAACAAAGACCTTTGCCCTCATAGGGCCCACATGCAATGCAGAGCTACAAATAATAAACAAGTACAGCACATAGCATAAATGATGTGAAAAGTGCTGGGAGAAGAAAAGGAAGCAGGAGGAGGACCTGGGAGGGGTGGGTGGGCTGTAGGTTGCAAGTTTAAATATTTGGGTGGTCAGGGAAGCTCTCACTGAAGAGTCACTTAAGTCCAGAGCTGAAGGAGGGAGGGAGCTGGGGAGAATATTCACCAACAGAGGGTTCGAAGCAGCAACAGCAAATGCAAAGACTCGAGGCCAGAGAAGGAGGCCACAGTTGCTAAAATGACATGAACAAAGGGGACTATAGACGAGGGAGGTGGAAAGGTAACAGCAGGGCCCAATGGGCTAGACCTAATTTGAGACAGTGGAGGACTTTACATCAGAGGAGTGATGTCACCTGACTTAAGCTCTAACAGGAAGGATCTGGCTGTTTGGCTGAGAATAGACAGCCAGTAGGGGGTGTCTTAGTCGGTTCAGATTGCTCTAACAAAATACCATAGACTGGATGGCTTATAAACAGCAGAAATTTATTCCTCAGAGTTCTGGAGGCTGGAAGTCCAGGATCCAGATGCCGGCATGTTCCGTGTCTGGTGAGAGCCCCGATTCCTTGTTCATAGACAGCCCTCTTCCCTTCTCACTGTGTCCTCACCTGGTAAGGGAGCTCTCTGGGGTCTCTTTTATAGGCTGCAATTCCCATTCAGGAGGGCTCCACCCTCATGGCATAATCACTTCCCCGAAGTCTCCTCCTCTTAATACTATCACATTGGGGCTGAAGTTTCAGCCTACGAATTGCAGAGGGAGGTGGAGGACAAAACAGTCTGTAACAACCTTATCACTCTTTCCAAAAAAATAAAAGCTTTTATGAGATATAACCCACATGCCATAAAATTCACCATTTAAAAGTGTCCAGGGGCTTCCCTGGTGGCGCAGTGGTTGAGAGTCCGCCTGCGGATTCAGGGGACATGAGTTCGTGCCCCAGTCCGGGAAGATCCCACATGCCGCGGAGCGGCTGGGCCCGTGAGCCATGGCCGCTGAGCCTGCGCGTCCGGAGCCTGTGCTCCACAACGGGA